AGGGTAGGGCTTACCTTGGTGGCAAGAACGATTAAGAGCGAGGGGGGCGACGACGGCGGCGGGGATGACCAAGCTTGTGCATGAGGATCAACATGGCGGTTTGAACGCAAGCGAGGATCGGCAGGTGGTCGGTCGGCACCTTCCTCTTCTTCCTCCTCCCCTTTCTCTTTCTTCCTCTTCCTCCTCCCCCTTCTCTTTCTTCCTCCTCCACCTTCTCTTTCTTCCTCTTGCTCCTCTCCTTCTCCCTCTGCTGGCCCGTAGGGGGCTGGCTGGCGGCCACTGGGGCGGGGTCTTGCGGGGCCACCAAGGGACGGGGCGGGGGGTCCCGGCAGAGCTCGCCGGGAGGGGACGACGGCGGGGGGCCTGTGCGGGCGGGGGCGGCGGGCATGGGCAGGGCTTGGGGCTTGGGTGGTGGGAGAGAGGAGGGGGTCGGTTGGGCCGGCCCGTTGTGGGCCTTTAGGTTAGAAGCTTTGCCGAGTGCCGGGCCCAGCGGCGCTCGGCAAAGTTTTTTACAATTTTTTTTAAAAAATCCTTTGCCGAGCGCCCTGTGACCTGGCGCTCGGCAAAGACAGTCTTTGCCGAGTGTCAAGGTTGGCACTCGGCAAATTAAAAAAAAATTTGTTTTTTTCTCCCCTTTTTTTCCTGGGCCTTGCTACAGTAATTGAAACTCCATTTCAAAATTTGGGACAATTTTGAGTTTTTTTACTATATTTCCTTAATTATTTTTGTTTCGTTGAATTTTTTCGACTATTTCAAATTTGAACTGCATGTACATGAAATAATAGAATTTGGTCATTCAAAAAATGGTATTCATGATGTTTGGCGTATGTTGAGGCCGTATCCAAGAACTCGCATGAAATTACGAGCATCTTGTTGTCGTAACATGGCGATGTACTTGCGCACATGTGGAGATGTTTGGCTTTTAGGCATCCGACGTCACAACTTGCTTCCAACTTTCTCAATTTTTTACCACGGCCTCCACATGCGATAACAAGACACCTCGACAAGTTTCGTGATTTTCGGACTTCGTTTGGATTTTATATAATTTAAATACACTTTTACCGCAAGTACATCGCCATGTTACGACAACAAGATGCTCGTAATTTCATGCGAGTTCCTGGATACGGCCTCAACATATGCCAAACATCATGAATTCCATTTTTTGAATGACCAAATTCCATTATTTCATGTACTTGCAGTTCAAATTTGAAATAGTCAAAAAAATTCAACGAAACAAAAATAATTAAGGAAATATAGTAAAAAACTCAAAATTGTCCCAAATTTTGAAATGGAGTTTCAATTACTATAGCAAGGCCTGTGAAAAATGGGAGAAAAAACAATTTTTTTAATTTGCCGAAGTGCCAACCTTGACACTCTAAGAAAGATCGTTTTGCTGAGCGCCGCCAGTCATGTGGCGCTTCAAGAAAGGATTTTTAAAAAAAAATTGCAAAAACGGTTAAAAAGTCTTTGCCGAGGGCCTAACGGTGATGCCCTCGGCAAAGATTGATGGTAGAAGACGGACATCGTGTCAGGCGGTGTTGCCGAGGGCCGGCCCTTTGCCGAGGGTTTAGCCCTCGACAAATAATTATTGTTGCCGTGTGCTTGTCTTTGCCGAGGGCTGTTCTTTGCCAAGGGTCAGACCCTCGGCAAAGACTCTTTGCCGAGTGCCCGATTATTTGCCCTTGGCAAAGGGACAGGCCCTCGGCAAAGATGCTCTGTCCGGTAGTGGGCGACGAAAACCGGTGGTGGGGGTGGGGATGGGGGGCAATCTATAGTAGTGGATCGTGTGACCACTGACCATATGATTGATGCATCACCTATGCAGAGTACACTCGTGACGAACAAGCTAGCTTTTGCTTTTGAGATGCATCATGCATGCATGCACAAAAAGTATAGCAACGCCATCGATCTCTCATGTTAGGTGGATATAGGGAGAGTATATTCAGTAGCCAACTACAAAATAAGTTATTCTGTAGGCACTTCCATTTACGATAATTTTATATTCTAATTTACGATAATGTCAATATGTATTTACGATAATTGGGTTACTATAACACATGGGGATATTTACCATAACGTTATAATAAACCACTTAGTAATGAGTTACTATAATCTCGTAAATTAACATAGTAATTATCATAACTCAAAGTGGCTATAGAATAAGTTATTTTGTAGCTAGCTACAGGGTAGTAGTTATATATATATATATATATATATTGAGGCAGGCATCCTGTGCTCTCCTCGGAGCTTTAATTTTCCTTTACACACAAGCATTGCAACCTTTGTTCCCACCAAGGTTCCTCAAATGAAAGGAAATACAGAAGGACCAAGGCAATGAGATAAAAAAAACAATCACTAAAAAAAAGATAATGAGAAGAAAAGGACCAACGACCATACTATGTGTGCATACCGGGCATATATACCCTTTGGATCCGACCAATATAGATGACGGGAGATTATTAATTAGCACTGAGCTGTCAATTTGAGGGTTTTTGGCTAGATTGCTTGATAATTATGTTGCCTTGTAGTTGTGCTTTTGGCTCAAAAATATATAATATAATAGGGTACTTTCAATATACGTACTGAGGCAAAGATTCTAAGATTGCATTAAAAGATATAAAAGCTTTTAATTTGCTCATGAGATGCATTTGCACATATATAGTACAGTGGCATCATATATATGTTAGTCGCTCTTCAATAACGATTAGGATTTGAGTATACTAGTCCACTGACGCATCACGCATGCTTCTTCAGGGATACTTGGATAGTATTTTTAAAATACATATTTATGTTAAAATAAATTTGAATCTCAGGTAACTAAAATTGCTTATATTTGACCTGTCTATTTGGTCATTTTCTACAACTCCCACAAAAATGATCTATATATAATGTTTGTCCGGTTGTGAAGTCTTGTGTTACCAATGACCGGCAAGTATTTCTTTGTCGTAAGATGTATAAGCAAGCGAACTCATGCGTGTTTAAACTTTGTTCTACAAGCTTGTGTTGAGGGACTTGGTTGAAGATGAATACTAAATGCTCCAACAAGCGACAAGGATGATAATTTCGATAGAAGCAGACATCCAGCTGAGATTTGAAATCTTGAAGTACCAGACTACCAGGCCGTGTGGATCATCTAAGTGAGGCACTTGAAGGAGCACAATATGCATGCCAACATTATTGAGGAAAAGGGCAGGTCAGGAAGAGGTGTTCCACTGTTTGTAGCTAGTAACCTGGTAGGAGCACAAGACATAGTCACAAGAGGGGAGGGCCATATTTCGCTGGCAGCAAGCCTCTCGAACTGAGCTGATCTTCAATAACACTATTGCAGAAACACATTTTAGTCATGGTCAGAATCGATTTTATCTATTTCTAGGAACAGAAATGCAACTGCCCGTTCAAATCGATTTCTACAGGCGGTTGGTAACATGACCCGCCCCTAGAAATCGATTTCTAGGGGTGATTCGCCTACCCCTAAAAATTATTTTCCAAAAATATAAAGAAAGGAGTACAGAACAGCAAAAATCTAATAAATTTTGGCAAGTCACAAGTCACATGATCCCTCCTACCACCACATGAGAAACAATCACTTGTGATCAAGTGTAGAATGTTATCCTTTTGTATTAACTTTTATGGATTTTATATTAAATATTTGGGCTTTTAAATGACTTCAAATGAAAAAAGTTTTAAATCTCATTGAGCACTACAACTTTGATATTGTAAAGTTCTAAATCTCATCTGAGATCATTTGAAACAAAATAAAAATTTAAATTCCAAAATATGAGAAGTTAAAACGAATATTTGGGCCACTACATGGTTTCAAATGAAAACATCATCAACAACAAAGTCTTAGATCTCATCAATATCTACAAGTTTAATATAAAGTTTGTATCAATCTAACTTGATTTGAAAAGGCTATGGATTTTTTGGTTGCAGAGGCCGGTCCAGGTTGGTGTTTACGACAACGGCTAGAAATGCCTCAATTTTCAAGTTCTAACACCGCACATAGAAATAGCATTTATAGCCACGGTTGATTTTACGGACTGGACTGTGAAAATAGAAGGTATTTCTAAGGGTGTCCATAAACACCAACTGCCCCAAAAATCTATTTTTAGCTATGGTTAGTCTATGGAACCATTTTTAGGGATGGCATTTGATCTAACTGCGGCTATAAGAAAAAAATCTTTACTTTAGTAAGAAGATTTCCATAAGAAGGGGGTAAATCATGGTGTCCAGCCAACACTTTATAAGCTCGCGAGGATGCAGGGTGTTCTATAGTAATGTTGATTCGTTGCTTTCCACAATTATAAAGCATTTGAGATGAAGAAGTTTGCTTCTTCTTTTTTATAGCTTGGTAGGTTATTTATATCACTCTTGCGAGGATGCCAACACGGCCTTAAGCCAGTTGATCACAATGGGGGTTTCCAAGACTCTTATGTGTTGGAAACAGTGTAGACAAGTTTCATCCCCATAAAACTCATTTCATTCGATAAAACTTTTATCACCCCTCTCTTCATTTATACTAGCTACATCAACTTATTTAATGCTCGTGAAACTCTCATGAAACTATCACTGAGACTAATCTTAGGGCCTGTTTGGATGGTCAAATTACTAGCTAGTTAAAAATTAGCCCAAATTAGCTCTATTATATCTAAACAGGAGGGCTAATAGGTGAGCTAATTTTTTTAGACAAGTCTTCAACTAGTTATTAGCTAACTAGCTAGCTAACCTTACTAATTTAAGCTAATTGCAACCAGTAACTAGCCCTAGCTCATCCTAACATGCCCATGGTATAGAATAAATGCATGCACGTGGAGACACATTCGACTCGTAGTGTATATACGTACGTACTTATAGTATATATGTAGCTTAATAAATATCTCTGCTGGCAATGCAAAAAAGGAAAAAGTTTGATCCAAGCGCGGGCTATTAAAAACGTAGCAGCATGCAGTCGTACGTTAATTGGAAGCACGCGTATAGTACATGCATATGCATATCAGCATATGGCTTCGCCTTCGCCGCTGAGTAGTGCGAGTCGCCTCAGGGCCCTAAATCCCAAGCACTACATCCTGTTGGCTCTGACGGCGACCCTGGCCGTGGCTGTCGTCGTCACCGTCTTCTTCATCGTGATGAGCCCCGCGCGCATCCACTTCTCCGTCACCAACGCGAGTAGCCACCGCCTGCAGTCGTATGCTGGCGACGGCGGCGTTCTCCTCAACCTCACCCTCGCCTCCAACAACACCAGCCGGCGGGCGGCGGTGAGGTACCAGAGCATGTTCGTCGACGTGAGCAACAACACGGGCCCCCAGTGGGTGTACTGGATCAGGGCCAACGTGACGCCGACGACAGGCGTGCTGGCGCAGTGGCAGCCGCGCGCGAGCGTGGCCACGGTCACCGCGACGGTGCTGGTGGGGGCCGGCTCGACCAAGGCCTTCACCGGCAACATGACTAGCCATAGGTTCTCCGTGAAGGTCACCGCCGTGGCGCGGTTCAAGGTCGGCATCGCCAGGACGCGGCTGTACGACATCATGGTGGTCTGCAGGCCCATCGATTTCTTCCCGCGAGACAGCTGCAGCCGGGCTAGCGCCGCCGCCTCAGCTGCCCAGCCGGTCGCTTATTGCGTCTAGCTAATAATCCTACGCTATATATTAATTAACAGTACAATTAATATATAATTTATCATGCATGGTGTTTAATTCCCCCCCCCTTTTTAGGCTTGATATATACCTATTGTCTTTGTTGAATTGGAGGTCATATGTAGTGGAGTATTTTTTATATATATCTTGTCATCGGAATTACTGTTGTGGAAGTATGATTTAATTTGTGCCTGATCGTTTTGGTTGACGCTCAATACTATATACATAAATAAAATCTTTATGGGTATGTGTTTAATTACTTGTAGACGAAAGAAACCATGGAACATATATCTATACTTCTAATTCTAACAAAATATAATACCATAAGGACCAAAGAAACCATGGAACGTCATTTTATCTCCCGTCAGTTTGCAATCTTTCAAATGGCTGAGCTCTTCGGGCAACATTTTTTTTTTCGAGACCGTGCCTTAGCACGTTTTTCACTAAGAGGAAATAGAGTTAACAAGTTACAAACCTACTGTTGGTAATGAGAGTTACCGAACAGCAGGGATCCGAGAGGAACACTAAGACGATATTACACGGTACAAAACTCGACACAGAGAGCGAAACCGACGGGGTCAGCTAGACACCCAAGCGCTCCTCAAGCTCCACGTCCTGTACCTCCGATACGAAGCCATTAAGGAAGTCATTGTCCGGAAACACAACCTTGAAGGCCTCATGTTTGGAACCCGAAAGAGGCTCAGCAAAGAGCGAGTCGAACTTCTTGAAAGCCTCTGAGTCCACTGATCGCGTGGCGGAGGCCAAACCCAACTTTACCATGAGGACATTCTGAGCCTGCAGTGTTGGGTTTGCCGCCCTCAGCTTGGCGGCAAGACGACTGCTGCGCCTGAGCGAGAAATTTCCAGACTGGAACTTGGACTTCCTCAACCTGGGTCTGCTCTTGATCAGAGGCGTCTGAAGACTGAAGAGGCACACAAAGGTGCTGCACTAGCTCGGCCATCGTTATGAGGTGGACCATCCAGATGGCTAGAAATGACTTCATCTTCAAAGGGATTCAACCAAACTTTGAGAATTGCAAAAGAGCTTTCACTTCAGAGTTGTGTCTGTTGTTATACAGAGCAAAGAGAAAAATAGCACCGCAGTTAAGCTCATGGATAGAAAATCTTTTGTAACTTTAATTTCCTCACAACTTCTTTCTTTATTTTTTTGGTCTCTTGAGCAGGGGACTTGCAGTGTCCTTTGTTTTTGAACCATTGTATTTTATCTTTATATATATACATATATTTTTAAAGAGCAGGAGCCTCTGGCCCTCCCGATTCCTCAAAAGAAAAACAAAACAAATATAATACCAACTACGAAGCATCCCCTATTATTATAGTGCAAGTTACCAAATTTCAACAGTTGTCTCATTTCAAAAAAGAAAAAAACGTCAACAGTTGCTACCTACTCCCTCCATTCTAAATTGTGAAATTTTACAATGCTTGGAAAAAAGAAGAGCCATCCATTTAGATAGATCTTATAGTTATAAAATAGAAAGAACCAATATAGAGGAACTTAAGTTGTGGACCAGAACAAAAAATACGTGGGCTAGGAGGTTTGTTATGGTGCTTGGGAGGAACCACTGGTTCCTCTCTAAATAAATTTTCAGCCATTTGATGTGAAAAGAATTAAATTTGTGTAATTATGGGTAGTCTAGTCTTTTTACCGTGGATCTTCCTCTTTTCCCATCACATGAACTGGACGCTCAAACGGAATAAGGGCTCGCCACTACTGCCTGCATACACGGAGCGCCACTGCGACGGCCGCCTGTCCTGGTCTCACCGCCGGACGCCTAGAAGGGCTCGACGCTGACCATCTACAGGTGCTCGCTAGCGCCCGTGTGCAAGGGCCTGCAACACAGTCAGTTGCTGGTATAGCCGACGTCGCCCGCCTTCACGGGGCGCACCACCAGCCACCTTGGATTCGGAGGTACTGCCTTCGGCCGCCTGCAGCCTGCAGGGTCTCGCCGGTGCTCACCTGCAAGGGCTTGCTGTCGCCGGCTTCAGGGTATCGGCACCACCGTGCTTAGCAGGAGCTGCCCGCCCAAGGAGTAACCGGCGATGAGATCCCATCCTCACCCACAGCGACCGTGTCAGGGGATCTTCGCAACAGATTGATGACCTGGGATTTACTTTTGAATAACTTAAACGGATATCGATTTAGACCTGTTGAAATTTTGAGGGATGTAGTTATTAGATGCTCAACCTCATACGTGTGGATTCAGACATTTCGAAAGCTTGATGAAAGTTTTATGACATTCAGTATAAGGAAAATTTCAATCTGTATATATTTTCAGTTTATAACTTCTTTGGTTACTTCGAACCAATTTTGGGAATGGCTTCAATTTGCTTCCTCTACTGAACACAACTTCAGTGTGCTACACTTGATGAAAATCTAAAAGGGAATGCACAAACCTGAAATCCTTTTTATACATATGTTTATGGACTCAAGAGGAAGTGCTTGATGCCAAATTACTGTGATCTGTGTGTTTGCCGCCTACTGTTTCACTATACTGAGTAGTGTGTTGCAATTTGAACCTGATTCTCTGTTGAATTATAAACCTGGTGTGACGCTTGAGCATAGTTCTGGATTAATTTTGCACAAAATCTTCTGATGTCTTGTTTACTACTAAGTGGTTCTGAACTATTGGATCATATACTTGAGCAAATTCTTTAATAGAGTGCTCAGTTCTTGGCTTCAAGAAAAGAAATTTAAACATCCAACTCAATGAACGCTTAGTTACATTTGCATTCATACTGGTAGTCGTAATGATACAACAATTATAAGCTAGGAATTTTTTCTACAGCATGTATGATTGTCATCTCTTATTTTAATGTCTTCCTCTTCACAAACTCATCTATACAAAAGAAAGCTGACCATGTATCCACCGCCTGAAAATGCCACAATTTTCCATGCTGACAAGCCATCAACTCATCAAACGTCTCCTCTGCATCGAATCCATTCACTGGGCTTCATACTTCCTTTCTTCTGAATCTCACATCACCGAAACAACTGAAGGAAACTGTGACAGTTTAGGGTTCTCGCTTTACTAATTGAGAAATAATTGATATTGATTTCTGAAGCACATGATCCACGAAGCATGTCACCTTCAAGTTGTGCTATGTCTTGTCAGAGAGCAGAACATGAGTCCACACCAATACTCAAAGGTACCTGGGCACTGGGCAGCTCGCATAGGAATGGCCATGAATCAGTTTGCCTGTCTATGCGTCTCTTGCGGTGTACAGATCCAGCGACGGGGAGCACCCGAGCCAGAGCCCGTGCACGGAGAGTTGCCCACCAGGGGGCGCCACGCCGCCCACGCTAGGAGAGGGAGGGAGCTGCAGGTCCTGTCCATCGGAGTCCGCGCTTGCCAGGGAGCTACCACGCCAGAGCCCGTGCACGGCGAGTGCGCCCGCAAGGGGGCCGCCGCGGCGCTGGCACGTCGAGAAGAGGTTCTTGAAATGTAAAAATACTATTATACCCATCAAATTTAATTAGAAACCAGTTCTCTTCTAAATTATAAGACGTTTTTGTTTTTTTAGATACATAACTTTTGCTACGCACTTAGATATACAACATGTCTAGGTATATGGTGAAAGCAATGTATCTAGAAAAGTCAAAACTTCTTGCAATTTGGAACAGAGGGAGTACCATAGAGTAATGTTTCCTTCTAGAATCACCCTATCGCCATGGCCTCGTACCCCACATGCAGCGGCGGCGCCACCGACATCAACGTCAAGTGCACCAGCCCAACAACCCAAACAGCACTCGACGATTTCTCCATGTGGATCGGAGGTAGATCTATCTGATCTGTTGCCTCAACATCTCTGGACTCTTTGTGACCTTTCACTGCAACTGATTCTTGGATTGCCGAGTGCGTCCTGGATGGCTTCTCAGGAGCTCAAATGTTTTTTTAAAGAGAAGAATCAAATGTCTTGAGTTTGGACCAGCAGCATGCATGTTGAATAAAGTAAGACTCTTTAATCGATCAATATATTCTGCCATTTCCAAATTTGCCTTCTTATTTGTGCTTTGCTCCCTACTAGACATATATTCTGAATAAAGACTCTTTAATCGATCACCAGTAGATTTTGTCACCTTCAAATCTAATTTGGTGTTGATATATGAAAATATTTAAGAATTAAGAATTAAACATAGAACTTTCTTTAAAAACGTATGGAGTAATCATATCTTTTCTGCCTACCCATTGAGTAATCTCTGAATTATCGTAGTTCAAGAAATATATATGTACAGTAATATATGTTACTCTTTCATATCGTCCAGTAATCTCTGAGTTACTGTAGTGTACGCTTCCACCCCCAACAAGTGTATCCGCACTTGAAGTTTACTCGATGAGATCTATCTGCTCTAGGAGATTATTACTTGCTCGGTGCATCGTGTTCTCTACGAGGTAGCTTTTCTAAAGGGAAAGAAGAAGAAGCAGCAGGAGGGACCGAGAGACAAAAGGTGAAACAATCACATGACAAAGAAAAGGAAGTAGCGAACCACCGTACATTGTATGCACTACACTGATTTACCACCGATCGACACCTTTTGTACTTTGCCATAGCTGCAGCGTTGAGGAGAGAATATATAACGTATATATATGTTGGTGAACTGTACTAGGGCACCTTTGCACTTTGCTGGATGATATGATGACTAGATGACAGGATCAAAGGCCTGGGACATGCATCTTGTTCATACCTAGCAGGTTGTGGCCGAGCTTCCCTGGCCCAATCGGTGGGCACAAGATGCGTTCATTCACATATGTTCATCAAATGCTTTATAAGAGTAAAATTCACCACCGGGGTCCCTAAATTTGTCCGGCGGTGCCATCCCGATCCACGAACTTTCAAACTGACACTAGTAGAGAAACGCATTTTGATCCACTTCGAAATTTGGCTTTAGTTCCGGTATTTTTCGCGCCCGGGACTAGAGAGACCTTTAGTCCCGGTTTGTAGCTTCAACCGGGACTAAAGGTCCCTGCCCAA